GTTGGAATTATTTTTGGGAGTCAGCAGGATAATCCTTTGGTTGTAGGATATGTGGATTCAGACTATGCAGGTGACTTGGATAATAGAAGATCTACGACAGGGTATGTATTTACTCTTGGTGGAGGGCCTATTTGTTAGAAGTCTACTGTTCAATCTATTGTGGCTCTATCTACATTTGAAGCTGAGTACATGGCAGCGGCTGAAGCTGCAAAAGAGGCTTTATGGCTTACTGGTTTGGTGAAGGAGTTGGGTGTTCAGCAAGGTGGAGTTCAATTGCTTTGCGACAATCAAAGTGCTATTCACTTGGCTAAGAATCAGGTGTATGCTAGAACTAACATTGATGTAAGGTTCCACAAGATCAGAGAGTTGGTTGCATCTGGAGAGGTTCTGTTTCAGATGTAAGGTTCCACAAGATCAGAGAGTTGGTTGCATCTGGAGAGGTTCTGTTTCAAAAGGTACATACTGATGAGAATGCCGCTGATATGTTCACTAAGCCAGTTACGATAGACAAGTTCAAGTATTGCTTGGACTTATTAAATGTTTCAAGTTGTTAAAGAAGTAAGATAACACAACCCACATTGAAGTTTTCAAAGGGCAGGATATTCGCCAAGGTGGAGATTTGTTAGGTATGGCTCATAAATATACCGGTAAAGTCCTTACAAAGAAAGTCTCGTAGTAGGTTACGAATTATGTGGGTTGGGGGTGCGGGGGCGCAAGCCCCGCGATACGATACAGGGTTAATTTTGTAATTATGTAACCAGAGTTTCTATTATAATAGAGATGTAACCTAGACCTAAAACATATTGAATAAAACTTCTAGTGCCGCCTATCTTTCGTTTTCTTTACCCGTTTTCATCAACAAAAATAGTTTCTAATAGAAATATAATTCTCTTGAAAAATATTTCATTAATAATAACATCAATATTTTGAAGATCCCATTTCTTATTTTTAATAGACTGCATAAATCAAATAAGGATTTGAATAATTCTTTTATAAGATCATTTGATCGAAGAAATTTCTTTCAGTGCTACTCTTTATTTATTGTGTGTTTTCTAATCATCTTGTTATCTTTATTGTCACACCCCATATTATATATTAAATTAATTTAATTTAATTTAATTTAATTAAGGGACTAAATTGAATAATTTTGAAGATTTTTGGGTCAAATTCAAAAGTTTAGAAAGTTTAGGGACTAACTTCATAATATTTCCCATACTCACATGACAGAAAAAAAAAATTGGAGTGGTTGGAGAGGCTTGAACCTATGTCCACCGGGTAAGGCTACCCATGCCCTAGCCATTAGGCTAGACTACTATTAGTGTTTATTATAATAAAATATAAGTTTTATATTATTGGTTTGGGGTTTTAACCCAAAAAATCGAAATACCCCCGGTGAGAAAATTCCCAAAATTTCCTAACCTAGCAGTCGCCTCTCTCTCTCGATCCGCCTGTTTCGAACGTCGGTGAGTATCACCTCCACCTCCAGTCGAAGCGTCGCGACCGTCCGACCAAAACCCCTAAGGTCGATCGTCAAAAGTGGTCGTTGTTTGTCAGGATTGAACTATTTGAAAGCTTCATCGAAACCCCCCAGTCGTCGCTCGTATTTTCCTCGTTTTTGGTCGAACCTAACACAGGGTTACCTCACTACCTCTAGTGCTGTGTTCCTCAGGCAATTCCGACCAGAACCCCACCCATGCCGTCATCCACCGCCGCCAATTTTGTCTGTCCGCCATCGGAGTAAGCATTTCAGCCCTTTGTTTTAAATTTCGATGAATATAGCCTATTTTTAGTGTTGAAATGGCTTGGTAGTGATGTGTAGATGCACTGAAGTAATCAAATGACTGATTTTCCCCTTGTCGCAGTTTCATGCGTCGGCACGTGTCTTCGGGTGCGCGTGAGGATTTCCCTAATCTCTGGTTTCTTCTAGAATGGTCTGGATCGGCTCAAATCGACCCAACCCGGTCTGAACCAGGTCTGTTTGACCCAACCGAGTCAACCCGGTCTGATTCAACTAGGATCAAACCGAGTTAACCCATATTGAGTCAACTCTTCTGAGTCAACTCATCCTAGTCAACCTGTTAACTTTGACCGAAAAGTCAAAATTTTCAAAAAGTAATATTTTAGGTTTTTCAATGTATTAAGTGTATGGGATAAACTTGACTACTAAATGACCTAAGTACCCTTAATGACCGAAGGGGTTTGAACCACGAATCAAGTACGTCAACATTTCTTGATACTATTTGCAACACAAAAATGAAATAAATACCATTGGAAAACCTGTTCGTCTCCCTAAGATCCATTCAATGATGATTCTGAAGATGATCAGTTCGACTAGTGATGTCAATATTAAAGTGTGAATATCCTTGAAGTGCATCGATTTGACAGGTTGACGGTACCATAGTGATGGGATTTGTTCAGTTCGAGTTAACTCGATATTCTGATAAATCGACATAAATCTTAAATACCATGAATCATCGTTTCACTCTTATTAGATTAAATTACTAAGAATTCTTCAAGAACCAAATGTCCAAAATGCCCCTGATTTTCTGAATAATGGAATCACTCTTGATATACCTGAAATCTCAAGTAACTCTGATGCAAAAGATTTTGAATACCTTCCCAATTGCTTAGTGCCTCTAAAAAATATATGAATATTGTATAATCTTGATAAATCACTACCCGAATGATTGATGAATTAGTTAACTATCAAACCCCATTTTTTATAGGGATCTTGATTCTGAAATCCTATTAAATTACAAAAGTTTCATGATTCCGTACATGATAAATACCAAGTACCTCCAAAGAATAATTAGACCCTCTAGTGTGTTCCATACGTGACATGTAATTGTTTTACCTATTTTAAAACATGATTTTAAGAAATTACAGATTTACTAATTTTTGATTTGTTGTTAGTGAACTATGGCTACATGATATATGTTCTCTGATTACCTGTTTTCACTGAAAAATATATTCGTTTCTAATTTATGGATCATGAGATCTATTGGTTTCTACTTGAACTATTTTATTGAGACATTATCTGGGTAGGCTGGAGTATGGAGGTTCAGCTCGGTCAAACTGATAATTCCTTATATAGGTTCAGACCGATTGAGATGGTAATTCCTTACAGACCTAAGGTGACCCTTGGTTAGGCTCCGAGAAACTTTCTTGGGTAGGCTCTCAGGTCCCAAGGCACTCCCTTGGGTAAATCATGGGATTGCATATGGTGTATGGGTATAGGGCCTTCATGTGATTTAAATAACTACTTGATCATTTTTACAATAAACTATTGGATCATGATTTTGAAATTACAGGGTACTACTAAATCAAATTTCTACTGGGAACTGTATGGGTAGGTTGGAGTATATAGGTTCAGCTCGGTCAAACTAGTAATTCCTTATATAGGTTCAGACCGATCGAGATGGTAATTTCTTACGGACCTAAGGTGACCCTTAGGTAGGCTCCAAGGTCTCTAGAAACTTTCTTGGCTTGGCTCAGAGGCCCCAAGGCACTCCCTTAGGGTGACTCATTTGATTTGTGCTTACGGTAAGTCTTTATGGATGCAGTTATGAGGAAACTGCATAAAGTTGTTCAGTTGTAGGGTATTACTGTGGTTTTAAAATATGTTTTAAACTATTAACGTTTTTAAATGATCTATATACAGTACTATGTTTTTGTTGGAACACACTAGAATCCTATTTCAATCTCCTGAACTTGGTCTTCTAAATGTTTCATCTAAACTAAAATCTTCATGTCTTTTACTCGAAGAAATACCAATAGAACCACAGTTTATCCCGAAAACCTGTAGACGTCTGAATCAATAAGGAAATTTTTATGCTTGCTTAGTATTTGCATGTCCTTCAGCATTACTTGGTAGTTCTGTATTAATGAGCTTCCCAAAGCTCACACTTTTAGTCACCCATTTCAAGTTAAAAGAATCGAACTAGTGCAACTATCAACATCAGTAAAGGAGTTCCACCGGTGTTACTTGCGGAGTACGGTGCATGTGATTAGGGGGTGTATGTTGTATTATGTTTTTATATTCGAGTCTGAAACCTATTTTATTATTGGATATTGTTGAATTATACTTTTAATATATATATATATATATATATATATATGAATGATTTTCTGAACTTATATTCTAATTATAAATTGTTTTATGATTTTACGCGTTTTAACAAAGATTTTAATTTTCCTGGATTTTTACTGTGGGTCGCTCTGGTAGCTCTAATGTGACACCTCGATCGGATCAGGTCACCTACATCAGTCTGTGGGTGTTACATTTATAAATATAGTTTTTTTTTTTAAAAAAATAAGTCTATTAGTACGGTAAAGATAATCTATAATTGTTAGGGGAAAGCTAACGTGCGGCAGCCGTAATATATTGATAAGGAAAGACGATACCAGTTTTGTTATTATTTTTTAACATTTCTGGTAAAAAAATACCGAAAACATTATTATTTCTATTGGTTTTGTTATTATTGGGTGCTTTACCGGTTTTATTAATATATCTGGTAAAGCGTTACCTAAAATATTATTTTTTCTACCGGTTTTGTTATTATTGGGCACTTTACTGTAAATGTTAAAAAATATTAGATATTATCTGATCCGAATTTTCGGATATCCGAAAATTTTGGATACCTAAAATAATGATTCGTATCCGATCCGAAAAAATCGGATATCCAAAAATGCGAGTTTCTGAAATTTCGGTTCAGATATCTAAATATCCGGATCTGAATCCGATTTTTTTTTTCTTTTTTGCAAAAAATTAAAAAAAATTATTTGCGTGGTTCCATTCCTGTTATTTTTTTTGGTTCGATGTCCATTTTGGGAGAAAATATTGATTCAGGAGTGCCAGCCCGCTTTGATATGCCCTTTTTCAATAACCTCTCTGGTTCGCTCTCTCATATTTGTTATTTGCTTGCAAGTTATTTTTCAAGGTGTTTATTTTTTCGTTTGTCACCAGATATGTACCATCTGCAAAGGAATGCTCTGATTGCTCTCTTCTTCTCCAGCTACCAAATGGAGAGATTTCTAAGACAAATGGCTTTATATCTCCAGTTAGTTATCTAGACTTCATTATATTCATGCTTTCACTACTAATTATTCTGTGAGGCTGCATTACCTTATTACTTCTCATGAAACCTTTTAGATGTGGGGAGGTGTTATTGTTTGGAATCCCCAAGGCTGTTTAAATGATTCAGAATTTGAGCCCAGTGCCAAGAACATAATTCCAATACAGGTTAGATAATGCACGACTAATTCAACAAAAAATTGCTGCCCCCTCTCCTCTGATCTGTCTCTCTCTATTTCTTCCATACACATGGTTCCATTAGTTTTCTCTACTTTGATGCATGAACGTTCTTAAACAGGATCTTGAGAACATGTTTGAAGTATTCATTGGACAGTTCCGGCAACTCACCCTAATTTTTTTCGGGTTTTCGGATAATCCGAAAATAGTTTTTTTACCGATCCGATAATCTGAAAAAAATTTCGGATGCCCGATCTGAACTATCCGAAAATTAAAAAACGGATCGGATATTCGAATTTTCGGATCAGATCAACAGATCAGATCAGATTTTTTTTACACACCCCTACATGAGGTAAATGCTTGCACATCTCTACTTAAGTCAACTACCACTATCGGACTATCACATTAGCAAGCATGTAGTTTATATTTATTGCTGAAATTTTATATTATGATGTCATAATTTTTTATTATCAAATATTTTAAAAAAATATGTGCTAATTTCCTTTTTAAAAAGTGTCAAAACCTTTCTAAATATATCGTTCTCACTATACTATATATATATATATTTGAAATTTTTTAGTATCAATTGACACCCTCAACATATATTAGCTCCACGGTCAAAATATTATTTTAATATCTATAAAATATTTTTAATATTTTATAATAGTTAATAGCAGTAAAATATAAAACTATAATAAAATAATATTTCATCATAAAAATTGATTTGGATTATCGATATAGACAATAACAACAACAATACACATGTGATGAACTTTAGCCCCAATTACTCAATGATGATAAGATGAGAGGATAAATGTAAGCACTCTTAATAATCTTTTCTCAATAAATATTGAACCCGTTTGCATTATGGACACTTTTTGACACAATAAGTTAACTATTTTTCTTAATTTTTTTTAAAAAATTATAATATTTTAGAAAAACAAAATTCTTTAATTAAAAGAGTATAAGTTAATATAATTTTAAAATAAAAAAATCTATGCATTGCACAAATTATATAATCTTATTTTTAAATTAAAAAATAGACATTACCAAATTTAGTGGTTAAATATACAAAAAAGGAAAATAAAAATAATTTGAATATAAAACTATCTAATTTAAAATAATGTTTTTTAAATGAAATTCAAATCAATAAATGCAAAATAATTTGAATTTAAAATCATGCAATTTAAAAAAAATTAATTTTCATATTTAAAATTATTGGAATTAAAAACTAATTATACATTTTTAAAACATAAATCCGTTAAACTGCCCAATTTATTGATCTAATAATTAATTAATGCCTTATAGAGGTAGGGATTGACTTAATTGGTGGCACAACGAGGGAAATCGTAATTTTTAAAAACTTTAAATTATCATATGTTTTAATTTTTATATTTTTATAAATAATTAATTTGTACATGTTTAAAATTATATAAGTTCATCTTATCTTAAAAATTTAGAGGTTTGTCCTCCTAATATAAAATCCTAAGTTTGTTCATTGGATAAATATAGGGTGAATACAAAGTAATATTTGTTCAAAGACTCTTAATCATTTGACAATGAACGCTCATACCCTGTATACGCGGTGCTCGAACCCGAAATCTTGTTCAAGGAATATAAGATTATCTTTATGAATATTAGTGGAATATAACATTAATATGAGAATGTTGTATTATCTTGTTTGATTTGTTTAGTAGAAATATAAGATTACAATGGAGGTATATAATATTACTTGGATGCATATTTTACTAAAATATCCTTGTGATATATGTTTATTTTAACAAGTTAAACTTTAATATTAAATTATAAATATTTTAAAGAAAAATTCATAGAAATATTTTAATAGTTACACTATCTAACTTTTGAAGAAAAAATACATTTAACATATAATTTATATAATTAGTATATCAAACGTATATTTTTAAATAATTTTAATCGTATTATATTTATTTATATAAAATATAATATAATATGATAAATAATATTGTGATCTCAAGTGGACAAAAATATTGTTTTTCATTGCATTAGATCCATTTTTTAATAACTCAAAATTAGATATTATTTTAAATGATTATATCTTTTTACAATAATATCATTTTACACCTCATAAAATTATAAATAATTAATATATTAAATATTTAAAATATAAACTAATTTTAACTACTTAAATTTATTAATATTTTATTAAATCAAACTATTTGTATATTAGTATTATGTTTATAATTTTAAGTAAAACACGAAGAAAGAGAATTAAGAAAAATACATATGAATAAAATTAAATATTTCAAGAGTATTCTTGTCCAAAGTAGTAAGAATTGTCTAATATTTTAGAATTTGAAGATAATAATATTCACCTCATTTTAACCAAAAAAAAACTATTATTAGTAATAAGTTATTATCCAATAATTTTTTTTCGTAAAGCATACAATTTTAAAAAAATATTATTTTTCTTAATAATGATTTTTTTATAAATAAAATGTATTTTAAATAACAAAATCATTAACCCCTACGAGAAATAGGGTAGTTAATCGCACAGCCTAGGAAAGGGCGTGGGGGCGGGAGAGAATTGGTCCAAAGTTGCCATTCTCTTGTTCTGTCTCCAAAAAACGTGGCCAATTCTACATTTATTGTTCCAAGCTAATATCCACCTCTTATTTTTCTAATAGATTACTCTCTATGTTACCAACTTCCTTTCAACAAAATATACATGTATATAATTTTATAACTTTCATAATTAAAAATATAATGTAAAAAAATAACTATTTTAAATATATAAATATTATAATTTATATATTATGTTTATTTGTATGCTACATTTTATTATGTAAATACCAACAAAAAGAAAATTTTTATTTTTATTATTGATGAGAATAAATGAATTATAACTCTTATAAGCAGTTTACGCTATTGATTTAAACGAAGAATTGTAATATAATATTAAAAATTGATATAGATAAAAATTGAAATTTATTGGATGAGCAAAAGTTAAAATCTAAATTAATATATATTTAAAATAAAAAAATTTTGTTTTCATTATTCAAATTGAATTATGTGAATGACTTAAAATTTAAATAATATCAACGAGATTTATACAAGTGGTAAGCAGTTTGATATCGCTTAATCATGTCTCAAGTTCTAGGGCTGTAAATGAGACGAGTCAGATCACGAGCTACTCGAGATCAACTCGATCAAATATCGGTAAATACCCGACTCGAATGGACTCGACTCGAACTCAACTTGACTTCTTAAACACCCAAAACGAGTTACTTGATACTCGACTCAAAAAACTCGTGAGCAACTCGAAAAAATAATATATTGAAATATAATATTTTTAAAAATTAAATTATCAATAATATTAAAATTTATGTGTTGGTTTTTTAAGAAATGCAGTATAAGTTTTTCATTTACTTAATATTTAGGTTCGATTTTGAGCTTTAACCTAGTTAAATTTAAGATTTTTTTCAAGCTTTTACGAGATTCAATTCATGATTTCGAATTCGATTCGAGCTTAGAAATTTTAGACAAGTGAGTTTTCGAGCTGAGTCAAACTCTATTTTAGAATTTTAAAATTGAGTCGAACTCAATAATATTTAAACTCTATTCTTCTCGTTTACTGTCATAATTGTATCATTCCAAAAATTAGGAGGGAAACTTTGATCTAATCATCCCCACACTAATAGTGTAAAATTTACCTAAAAGTAATAAAATTAAATTTTATCCAAAGACTTAATTACATGTTCCAATAAAAATATTTAATTTTTGGGGATGTTTAAATAAAATTAAAATTAAATTCTATACCCATATACATTTTAAATTCAATATTCTTGGCCAAACAGTTTTTAGTCTGATTTTGGTGAGAGATTAGTATAGGCAGGTCGAAATGAGCTTCACAATGGATACGTTAATTTTTTCCTCTTTCAAAATTATATGTTATAAAATGAGATAAAATTTTAGAGGGTGTTTGGTTCACGGAATATAAGATATCTTTGAAAATAAAATTATTGGGATGTAAAATTACTCTGGGAATGTTGTATTTCATTTTTTAGTTTGTTCACCAAGAATGTAAAATTACAGTGTTTGGTTGTAGGAATATAAAATTACTTGGTTGCATATTATACCAAAGTATCCTTGTAATATACGTTTTCTTCAACAAGTTAAACTTTAATATTAAATTATAAATACTTAAATGAAAATTCATAAATATATTTTAATCGTTACACTATCTAATTTTTAAAGAAAATACATTTAACATATAATTAATATAACTAGTTAAATAATTTTCATAAATATCATGTTTATTTGTATAAAATATAATATAATATGAAAAAATAATTTTGTAATCTTGAATGAACAAAGATAATGTTTTTTCAATGTATACGATCTATTATAAATCAAAGTTAGATATTATATTAAATAATTACACTTTTATAAAAATATTATTTTTTCACCTCATAAAATTATAAATAATTAAAATATTAAAAATATAAAATAATTTTAACTAATCAAATTTATTAATATTTTATTAAATAAAACTCTTTGTATATTATTATTTTGTTTATAATTTTGAATAGAGTATGAAGAATAAAAATTGAGATGGATCTAAATGAAAAGAAGTCACTATTCTAGAGGTATTATTGTCTAAAGTGGTGAGAATTATGTAATACCTAAGAATATGAAGGTAATTGTATTCCCACCGTTTTAATAAAAAATGCTACTATTGATAATAAATTATTATCTAGTAAAAATCTTTCTTGCGAACTAAGCATAAGAATACAATTCTGAAAAAAATATTTCTCTTGATAATGATCTTTTTCACGAACCAAACCTCCATTAAAAGTATGCTGAAAAGATACTCAAATTTTTTATAAAAGTTCAAAATAAACTTTATAACAAGCTTGTTAGTTTTTTTCCCCTAAAATAGATGTTCTAAAACTAGGTAAATCTTTATAATCATATTTAAGAAAATATTACTCCATCTATCCCATAATTTTTGTCTCATATTGATCAAGCACATAAGTTTAGGAGATAAATTTGACCATATGTTAAGTTATACCTCATTTTTGCACTCATAGATTTCTACTAAACACAGGAAACTCAAAATTTACTTCATGATTAAAGTTTAGAAACATTCATGTTATTAATGATTAGGACAC